ACTCTTTCCATCAGAATTAAAATGTCATGCCTGAGAGGAAATGTGCACAAGTGAAGTTTGCAGACACATTACAAGCTGAATTTAAAACCGCACGGTTCAAAGCTCATTGTAACCCACGCGCACTATAGTCTCGTCTATAGTTGCATAGATCCAGAACAACATATGTGCCATTCAAAAAGAGACACAATAGAGAAGATCCAAAGAAGTGCGGACTTTGGTTTCTGTTAATGCGCATGATAATGCAGCAGTTGTACTACACCAGCACACTCCAACTCACCTTGAATAAGAGCATCTGCCATGCCATTTTACTACCAGGGGGCGGCTGATTAACCAATACACGCCCCAAAGCGCCTGGTGCTGGCCAATCAGAGCGCGGCGGGGGCGGACCCAATGGCTACATTCCCTCACTTGGTTTCACTTTGCACTTCGGAACATCTCCGTCTTCCATAAAGGCGCTGGTGCAGGTGCTCTGTCTCTTCGGGGGAGGATGCCATAGGAAGGACGGGCAGGGGAAAAAAATGAAGGAAAACGCTGAGAGAGGAGAGCACAGGATGTGATAAGCAGGGTATCAGACTGGAAACGGAGGAAATTGAATATGAAAGATTTATTGAAAGGGGCACTTTGAGCTATTATTCCTGGTTGGCAATAGTACTATGATTTGGTATGTGGCCACTTTGATAGCAAGTGTTTTCAGCACCCGAGGAACGGCAGCTCAAGGTGAGTTGAAGTGCAGTATTTTTATTCTGCATCATTTTGGGAAAGACACACAGGCGTTACATTTGTGTGTTTTAATAGACGCGTTACATGCCACTTTTATTTATGCATTCGACGTGTGTTATATCTCAAGCTATACATTTTATTAGAATACGAGCGTTTGCTGGGATCGAACCCGTGGCTTTAGCTTTTCTAGCGACATGCTCTACCAGTTGAGTTACATGTGTATAACAATCAACGGATTTCTTTAATATATTTAATCAAATGCATATATTCAATTGGGATAGAACCTGCTATTCAACCTTTCTGATAGTATTTGCATCAGCTCATATCAGGGCATGAGCGAGACAATTGAAGGCGTGTATTGGTCGCTATTACAATCGATTGATGCTCTTTTGATTACAAACGCTTTTTGTCTGCCGTAAAGAACATTTATGCATGCATGCATTGATCATCCATGATGTATGCGTTAATGCAGAATATCACCGATGAAAGATTGTCCAAAATTGCAGCTAGTGTTGAAAAGGGGCGTGCAGCACTGAATGGAGACATGCTGCGATTGTCTGGGCTACTACAGTCTGTCGTGCCTGTTCACACAGAGATATATATATATATGCTCAATTTTGTGTATTATGATGATAAAAGCTCAAATGCATAGCCTCAAAACACATATGCGTGTATATTTCGGAATAATCGATGTGCATGGTCTTTTCGTTAGCTTGTTTTGTCCTTTTCACTGATATTATATCCTTTCTCGTATATATTTCTTATATTTGGAGCCCATATTTGTTGACGAATGGACTGACTTAACCTTGCTTTTTCATTTGTGGCCAGTAGGAGGAGCTATTTCCTCCTTTAACTACAGCGATTGTCCAATTACACAAACAGTAATTTAAATTATGCAGTTAAACTTGTAATTGACATTTGCAAAAGCAAAATGATAAAATATAGGCATATATTTCTTTAGTCCATCACACAACAGCATTTATTCTAATTATTTAACTTTGTCTTACAGTCAAATTTATAAAGTATAGTCTATATTTTATTGTAAAGCATTAAAATAAAGGTATAAAAGCCCTTTGGGTAAATATTTATACAGTCCAATGCCACAACTTTGAAGGTGCAGTGAATAAAATCAGTTATCTGTTGTTGTGGGTTGCAAAACAAAAAATAACAGGGAACCCCAGGCCTAGATGCTTGTTTGAGAGCTTTCTGCCTGTAATTGTATGTTCTCTATGAAATAATAGCCACAGTCTGTTTCCTGTCTCCCAAATCCACCATCAGCCATTTTGAAGCTGTCGTTTAGGGAGCGTCAAGCACACTGTAATGAGACAATGTTAGTGCACAACTCTGATTGACAAAATTATACCACTGCCCAACATGTGCCCGAGCCACAGAGTTTCTTGTGTCTGTTGAACGGCTTTGTTAGCTTCAAGACAAAAAGTCAGTTTCATATTTGAGAGTGAATCACAAAAATTCAAAGACAATGGTTTATTTGAGAGAACGGGATGCGCGTTTGAGACTCATGAGATGTTGGAAGCGATTATGTGCTGCAACAAAAGCTGAGGCAGTCAAGGAAAAAATGATCTAATCAGAGGTTCCTGCGAGGAAATATAATGGCAAGAGTTATTTAAGTTCCATCAATTTTAGTTATCTGAACAATAAAATAATGTACACACTGGAGTAGCTTCAAAAAGTATCTGAATTTACAATCTAGGTGTTAAATTGCCCCAGTGATCCTAAAAGGCTCCTGTGAGTAGATTTGAAAATCCTTCGAACCTTTAGAAGAGCATTGAACAAAAAAAAAAAAAAAAGGAAATGATGTATTTAAACTAGAAAATATCAGCTATGAGTCAATTTATGGACATAGTAGGGTAAAAATACTCATACTGAGTATTTTTACAGAACAGTACTCTTACTGTTCAGCTGTATTGTCATCTCAGAAAAGCGAAGTAATGGTGGTGACCAAAGTTTCCCACAGCCTGATACCAAGCATCATCCTCTGCATTGAAGCCACACACGGAGTGTTACAATAAGCAGGGCCAGCGACAGTCTCAGTCTTAATAAAGCTATGAAGAGCAGCTCTTGGCACAGTTTGCAGATTGTCAGTAATGGACACCTCTGGCAAAGCTCCCTTCCCCCTTACCTTGCCAAGCAGTATTTGTCTGACCTGCAGCCTTCTGACCGTTGGGTGCAACCACTGGTTCTGGTTCAGGGGGAGTGAAAACTGACAACTTTCTGAGATCTTGGGTTGCGGCTTCACACGTCTACTACTGTGTATCTATGATCCTAGGGAGGATAACATGGTCAGGCTTTAAAAAGAGTTTCAGTATATATATTATTAACATAATTATATTATTATTAATATAAGTCCTGCGCCACTCGCCGGTCTCGAGTCCCACGGAGGAGCTCCGGAAGGATAAAAGGAGGAGCGATGACAGTGAAAGAGGAGATAAAATCCAGGCCTGGTCCTCTCTCCTCTTTCACTGTCGTCGCTCCTCCTTTTATCCTTCCGGAGCTCCTCCGTGGGACTCGAGACCGGCGAGTGGCGCAGGTGTCGCTCATTATCAATTACTCCACCGGCCTCGCTCCGTTCCCACGGCTCTCGGCCCCCCCCCACTCGTCACAGTATAATATTAATATAATATTAATGTAAGTCCTGCTGAAGTGGAGATTTTTAGCTCAGTGCAGGAGAAATTGGCCTTAAAAGACATGATAAAAATAGATAAAATAGATAAAGTGCAATAAAAGAAACACTTAAAGGGATAGCAGTGAAAATTCTGTTGTTAATTACTCACCCTCATGTTTTTCCAAACCTGTAAAACCATCTTTAATCTTCAGAACACAAATTAAGATATTCCTGATGAAATCCGAGAGCTTTCTGACCCTGCATAGACAGCAACACAACTGATACTTTCAAGTCCCATAAAGGTAGTAAGGACATCGTTAAAATAGTCCATGTGACGTCAGTGGTTCAACCGTAATCTTATGAAGCTACGAGAATACTTTTTGTGTGCAAAGAAAACAAAAATAAAGACTTTATTCAACAATTTCTTCTTCTGTGTCAGCCTTCAACGTGCATTCATGAGAGTCACGACTGTGCTGCACCTTGTTACAAACAGAGGAATGCACACGCATGCGCTGTGGTACTCTTGTGAACATGTATGTCTTACGGGTTTGGAACGTGAGTAATGACAGAATTTTCATTTTTAGGTGAAATACTGCATGTCTGTAAAAGTGCATGTTTTCTTTCCACTAGTCTAAAAAATACTTTATGAAAAATCAAAAAGCTCAAAATCACAGAATTGATAGATGCGTGAAAAAAAACCTTGTCTAATGATAATTAGGTAAAATTATCTATTCAAAGAGGCCTATCATGAGGGTCTGCAGGGGTCCTCTGTGACATAATTTCCTCTATTAAGGCCATTCACATCAAAGACCATAACTAAGAGTAGTATTTCCGAACTGATACCTGGAAGACCTTCTACTTCCACTGAGATTTCATAAAAGCCCCCCAACCACCATGAGCATGAACCCAACTAATGTTCCTGTTAAGTTATGAAAACGTTAGTCCAGTTTTTAAATGTTTTAAAACGTTAAATGTACATTCCATTTTGTCATTTTGCAAACATTATGGGAATGTTACTTTTGAATGTTCTCTAAACATTCTGAAACAAGTTGCCACATTTTAAAGATGTCACATGAATGTCCAACTAAATGTTTCACAAAAAAAGGTTCCATGAATGATTTATTAAGTTTTTTGTACTAATATTGTTTTAAGGACATTATTAAAGACCATATTAAACAAATGTTCTATTAACATTAATGGTAGAACGTTTGTTCATAACTTTGAAAGAACCTTTCCAGAACGGTAGCCAAAGTTCTGAAAGCATTCCATGTTAGTTCTGAATAATAATTGTTATTAATATAAAAAAAATACAATTTCTCTAAAACAATAAAAGCTTATGCCAAACTACTTAAAAATGTCATTCTTTTAATATATTTTTTTTCTTCATTATGATAATATATTCCAAACTAATTTAATGCAGAAATTAAAAACATGCTTGATAGGTGTACGCAGGTCATGCATTTTGAAAGATTTGATACAAGATTGCATTTGAAATATATTTTTAAACAAAGATAATAAATTAATAAATATGACAACATGAGCGTCATTTTTACAAATTCTTAAATGTACACAACTCAAATGTATGAATTTACAGGACGTTTATTAGACCAACTAATAGGGATGTAATGATGTCAAAATCTCACGATACTACAATATCATGATATTAAGTCTACAATACTATATTTATTGCGATAAATAAATAAAAAAAGACAAATGAAAGATTGGAAAATTTTTTAATTTTGCACATTTTTAAGTTAAATTATTCTATCTAATGCACGTTGAGAGTTCAAAATGAAGAGCTCCAACCCATGTTCTTAACTAAGAAAACTCAAGTCAGAAAAAGTCAGTGAATTGACTTGTACCTAAACTTTAAAGGGGACTCAACCCTCTTTTTATTTGTGGTATACTGTCTCAGTCTAAATTACACTCACACTGGTGTTTTAGGAAGCCAAACAAATTAGAATATAATAATAATAATAATAATAATAACAATGACAGTAATAGCCATATTCTAAAACAACTGCACTGTAAAATAAATGAAAATGAATATTTCATAGGTATATTATTTTTGCTTTACACTACAGTAGGGAAATTACAATACTTCCTTCCTAATTTCTACACTTGAACGAGATATTTTGAATTTGGACTGCAGTACGTTACCCATTTAAACCGCTAACTGTCAGCAATTCATACTGCACTTTTAAGCTTTTATTTTGACGGAAACGGCAGTAGAGGTTCTATTTTAAAGGAATACTCCAGCTCCAGTGAAAAATTGCTTACAAAAACGCGTCTCACTACAAATCTAGTGAAATTCTGTAATCATCTGCCAAGAATATAAAGCCTAACTGGAGGCTGTTGCGTTCCCAAATGCGCT